CCCCCCCCCCGCCCCGTCTCGAAGCCCCGCCTCCGTCAGCAACGTTGCCCTGGCCCCTCTCTTCTCTTCTTGCTGAAAGTCAATCTCTTAAAAAGTTCTTTTTCCTCGAAACTCGTCCTACAGAGTCAAACATAAATCAGATTACTTCGAGTACGCGAACCATCCCTTGACCCGCCTGCCCCCTTCACGCCGCTGCGTCCGTGTTTTATATATGAAGAGCACGGGACCTCCTCTCCACGAAGCGGAGCGGACCACCGTTTTATCGCGTTTCCCCTTCGTCGTGTGCACGCTACGCACGAGGATTTTGCAAACAAACGAACGAATTCGTGCACGGTCGACGCCACCTTCAACTCCGTGAATATTGCATATCGCAATTTCTTCGATGTAGCTCGCGTGATCTCTTACCAGCACCGGAAGAAGAATAGATATCACCGTTTACGTGACGCGAAGGTTTATCAAGGGTGCGTTTGATCGATGTAGCGGACGAGAGAAAGGTAGGACCGGGCCGATTAATTATTTCGCTCGGGGAGGAATTGGAGCTATTTCGGGAAACTCCGGACGGTCGAAGAAATCATCTCGTACGAATGTTTGTCCATCCATTCGTTACTCTGCCGTTTATTTCGCACTTGAGTTAACCTTCCCATAAATTTGTTCCAATTTTAAGAAGAAAATTCGACTTCGATTGTCTCGCGATCGCCACGTGGATGAAGCTTGTCTCACGCTTGTTTCATCGTGGTACGCTCTGAATACAACGACGACCAACGAGAAGAACGCCTACGAGTATTTAAATGAGCCGTGATCGACGAGCGGTTCGCGAGACGTCTTGCGATACGCGATTACATAATGCGAGCTCGTTCACCTTTGAACTCGTTAGCGGCACTTGTTCGTTCGCGGGGATCGTTAACGACTCGAGAAAGAAATAAACGCGAAGCCCCGCTGCAAGTAGCTGCGCGACTCGTCCTGTTCCGCCTGTTTCCACCCTCCACCTTCCACCCTCCGCGCCTATTCGGATTCTCGACTTCATGAAAATTCCACGCTTTCAGCGGATAAATACGAGGCTAATACCACTCCGGGTTCTTCGGTACTCTTTGTAAAATAAACAGGCAAGGGAATGAAATAATGGAAGAGCGCAAACGGTAACGTCGATGAAAGCCGGCCCCTCGTCGATGAAAAGGCCAATCGTCGAAGCTGATCGGGAAAAAGAAATTTCTCTCTCTCTCTTTCTCTCTTTCTCTCGGTTCGTAAACTCGTCAACTCGTATTTCCCGTCAGATTCTCTTCTCCGCCAATCGTCGGACTCTTAAATTGACTAAATCTACTCCTCTCTTTCTCTCTTCTCCTCCTCCCCGCGACCCGATTTCTCCCGAAGCAGAAAATATTTCCATCGGAGGGTGGAGGGGAGGCATGCAACGCGAGCGAGCTTCGTTGTCGGTTTGTCTCGCAGTCGATAAAAAAATTGATTATATCGAGAGGAATACGATCGGTGCAGCTTTATGGAAGGGATAAACGTATAAAAACTGAGAGTGGAAAAAAATAACGGAGAGAGAATGAGAGAAAGAGAGGGTACAGTGAAAGTCGTCAATGTGAAATAATAGGAAGCAACGCTGCAATTGGAAAGTAATTAAAATCCCATCAAGCTGTCTTCCGTTCCTGTTGTCCACTCGGAGTTCCCGGTCTCGATGGAATTAACTATCCGCTTTTTATCATTTAGAAGATTCACGATGCAGTTCCTCTGTATCCGCTCGCGAGAGTTCGAAATCGTTCGTCATGGAAATCGTTCGCCGAGTATATATTCCGCGCGTTGTACGAAACTATCGCGTTTCAATGGAATTAGTCGTACGTTGCAATTCGTTGCTCGTCCAAGACGCATTTCTTCTTCCACTTATTGTTGAACGAAAGCGAACAGCGAATGCAAAATTGTGGAACATGGTTGATGAAATTTTCAGACGATCCGATGGTGAACACGGACTTCCCGGTTAAGAGGTACACGGCGGTGCAGTACACGCAGCCAGCGGCCGCCATTTCCCCGTTATCGAAATCCACCAGGCATCTGTTGGTGCCGGAACCGGATCCACGCTACTATTACACTCACAGGGCGCATCAAGAAACCATCACGATCGACAGGGACAATTTAAAGCACGGTAAAAATCGGAGCCGAAATTCCATTCTACGCCGGTTCGCGCCGATATTTCATCCGATGTTACATACACTGCGGCTACGAAATCCAATCTCCATCGCGCCATCTTACATTTCGTTTTAAGACGAACTTGCGCGTTCCTCCCTTGAATTTCATTCTTCCGAATCGCCGAAATTCGGAAGAATTTCATTCTACCTGCATCATCTACGAACGTGTCGGCCCGATAACGAAACATCGATATCCCCGGGGAATTGGAGTCGAAATTTAATGAAACGAGATCTGCACACGCCATTTTTATCGGGAGAGTCGGAACGCATTTCGAGGGTTCGAAAGCTTTTTAATGGCCATCGTGTATCGTCGTCGCGATAACGTTCGCAGCATGACTAATAATTATTGGAAATAGCGTTAGACAAATGCTAAGAACATTTACATGTCTGCACATTCGTGCCTCTCTGTGTGCGTGTATATGTTTGCCTGTGTGTCGCTTCGAATCGTGCACTGTCAATCGTGCTTCTCGTGGCGGTTAATTCTGGATCAGTTTGACGATCGGATCGATATTACTCGGAACGATGCCCGAAGCGCTGTTTTCCTCGGGATCCGATCGATCGGACGTCGATTTGATTTATTCGACCAATTTTGTTTCCTAGGCGTGGCTGCAGCGTACAGACCAACCCCAGCGACGATCCGCGTGGTTACAGCGTTGCTCGGCGACCTCTGCACCGACGACAAGGATTGCACCATCCCGAACAGCGAGTGTTCGAACGGCGGCTGCATTTGCTCGGAAGGATACGCGGAAACCAGCGACAGGCAGGAGTGTTTTGGTAATTGCTTCGATCATGTCCATTCGACGCCTCGTTCTTCCAAAATTCTCCCATTTATTCGATCGTGTTTCCTCCTTTAATCCTTATTCATTACGAGCATTTATTGAAGTAATCACACATTAAAAATGCACAACACACTTCAGTCATCAAGACGAGGTTCTTTCACTTATTCCTATTCGATAGTGAAATATTCGATAAGAAATTATTGTAATAAAAAAAATCTCTCTTGATCTATTGCAGTTTGGGAAAGGTCGGCTACTGTTAATCTCTTAAAAATTCAAAGTTAGGTGTTTGTTTGAAAAATTTATTCTAGGCCATTGTCAAAATATCGCCAGGCAATTAAAAACGGATTCTATTTCAAAACGGATGAACTGATTTGGGAAATGATTCGATCGAAATGTCTATATTTCTGACGTGGATTTCTCGCTTCGCGAAAGAATTAATACGTCATAAACATATCGTAGATGTAATAGTTGACTACAAAGAAAATGCTTTCAATCTTTCTAAAACAATAATTTAACCTTTCCGTGAAAGATCCCGCATTCTTCTCAGAATGCGGAAGAAATTAAGAAATGGAGTGCGATTCGTACGAGCAAATGTAAGAGAAAGAAGGAGGAAATAAGCGGAGGGAAAGGTTTATTTTTCTGGCTTCCGCCGAG